CGCGGCGCGGAGGGAAACCGACCCCCGTTCGCCCTCCCCGCGGGGGCCACTGGTCAACTGCGACCGCCCCTGCGCCGGCGGGCGCAGCTTCGCCCGACACCGCAGCCATCGGCAACCGGAGCTGGGGCACCCAGCGCAGCCCATGGCCCCCGGGCGAGCTGCTGGCAACCAGCCACCAGAAAGCCACGAGAACGCCAATCACACAAAGAGGCCGCCGTTGTGTCACACCAGGAGCCCGGTCAGGCAGCCACGGCAGACACGTCCATTCGCCCGAGCGGGCCAGGCCACAGCGAGCGAAGCCAGGCCAGAGCGAGCGGCTTGCAAGGGCTTGGCAAACGGACACCACCAAGGTGGCGAGCAGCACAGTGAGGCCGCAAACCTTCCCCAAGAAGAACGAATACACGGATCACGGTGCACTGCGAGTGCGGTAGCATGATCCACCAGGACAGTCTCAACATGATGGATATCACGCGCACGTGCGGCGAATGGCAATGGGCGACGCCCCCAGCGGCGCCTCCTGCGCAGCGCGCTCGAGGTGCCCGCGCCACGACTTCGGCATCCAGGTGAATCGCACTTGTGGGGGGGGGGGGCTTCGAGGACAGAGCGGCGATGCAGCGCCGCCCCCGCGAGTTTTTTTGCGGGCCGCTTGGGCGTCACCCAGCTGGCATGCCGAGGCGCGGTCTCTTGGCCCTGGTGCGCCAAAGCAGCCAGACCAACCAGACCAGCGAGAAGAGAGGGGCCCTGGTGAGAGTGGACTGCCGCCTGGCGCCACGGTTTTACTATCTGGCCATCGTGTGCCAGGCAAGCCTGAATTTGGCCCTGCTGAGCCCACCACAAACCAGAGCTGGCGCCTCGCGCCACAGTTCTGATCGACAACAAGTGCGGCACGGGAGCGCGGTCAGAGCCAATCGCGCCGCCTTGGCCAGGAGAGGGCAACTTGGCCTGAGCGTGGTGGGAGCTAACCCTGCTGACAGAGTCCCCCCCCCAGCCCCGCCCAACTGAGCGGGGAGCACGACCGCCACAATCGGCAGCCGGTGGACTCAGAGCCCGGCGCGGAGGACTATCTCGACGCCGCGAGGGCACGCAGGCAAGAGGCGCAGGATCACCCATCGGTGGGCCTGTGCGGGGTAAGGTAAGTCCACAGACGCCGACATCGACATATTCCACCGCGACCTGGTGCGTTGCCGTACTGCTCTGGCGACCCGGGCCGCCTTCGGCGAGAGGGCCAAGACCGTCACGAGCGAGCATAAGAGCAGAAGTGAGCGTTGGCCCTTGCCTCCCGCTGGGTGTGCGTTCTATTGCACGCACCCTGATCTGGGTGGCCGCGACTGCACCCACAGTTTCTCGCACCGTTCTGGAGTAGGATCCCCCGTTGGTACTCTTGTGATTGGTCCGGGACGTCCGAGGGCTCCCGCTTTGCTTCCTTTTTCCTCCCTCTCCTTTCTCCTCACTACTCCTTCTCCCTTCTTCCATCCCCGTTCCATCCTCCTTCCACATTCCCTTCGGCCTTTTCTCCCCCCCGCGTCCGGCCAGAGCGCAGCAAGTGGTTGCGGCACCCAGGGCACAGATATTTGCATGACCTTGTTGCGTTGACCAGGAGCGTCGCGCCGATTGCTAGACTAAAGCACTAATTACGCACTTTCTCTTTTCCTCCTGACATCACCTTCCTCCTGACCTGCTCCTCCTTTTCCTCCTGAACCCCTTCCTCATTACCCGCTTCCCTCTCCTCACCCTCCTCCTCATCCTCCTCCTCCATCTTCTCCTCCTCCTCCTCCTCCTCCTCCTCCTCCTCCTCCTCCTCCTCCTCCTCCTCCTCCCCGCTCCTCCCTCATCATTTACTGTTGCCTCCTCCTCCTCCTCCTCTTCCTCCTCATCCTCCTCCTCTTCCTCCTCATCCTCCTCCTCCTCTTCCTCCTCATCCTCCTCCTCCTCCGCCTCCTCCTGACCTCTGCGCGCATGCCCGCCCGCACCACCTCCCCCCATCGTCCGCGTCCGCCTGGCTCCCCGTCGCCGCGCCGAAACTCGAAGGATCGACGATCGAGGTTTTCATGGCTTTCGGGATCCCATCGGAATACTGGTCAAAACGCTCCCCTGGACAGGCCCTGCAGAGGACGTTCAACTGAGGAGAACGACGTATGGATTGGTCCCGCTACCCTGGGAGGCCCCCACCACCACGGCCAGGTTCGCCGCGAAGTCATCATCAGAACGCACCCATGGGGAGGGCCACTTGAGTCACGGTAGCGTTGTTGTTGCCCTCCCCCGGGTTCGGGGTTCGACGGATTGAAGGCCGAGGTTGTTTGGGCATGATGCTGTGCTTCTCTTTTGGGCCACGGCCGGCCTCCTTTTGACAGTCGGGTCAGAACACACGCACACACGCACACACGCACACACACACACACCGCCAGGTCCAGAGGCCCACGCCCACCCCCCCACCCCCCATACATGTCAAGCATTTACGCATCGCATATCCCCACAAGCCCATTCAGAAGCACATCAGAAGTGACCAGCAAAAAGACGCACATGTGATGTGAAACAATGCGGGCAACCTGGATGAACACAGCGGTCTCTGGGAACAAGGGGGTGACCTTGGAGGGCCTCTTCGGGCCATCCTTGGGGCTTGCGGGGGGGCGTGGGGACGCGGAGGAGGAGGAGGAGGATGAGGAGGAGGAGGAGGAGGAGGAGGCAAACCGCCTCTTGGGGCCCTAGTGGGACGCTCTTGGGCGCTCTTAAAACCCGCTTGGGGGGTCCTGTAAAGCCTCTTGGGGCCATCTTGTAGCGTGTTGATCAGAGGAGGGGGGGTCCTTGATTTGCCTCCACCTCCTGGGGCCATCAAGTTCACCTCTTGAGGCGGCGTTGTTGGGGCCGTTTGGGGCCCTCTAGGGCTTCCCTTGCGGCTGTCCTGGGCCATCGTTTGGCCACAGCGAGGCCTCAAAAGCGCATCGCAAGCGAAAGGGCGAGAAGGCGAACATAATGTTTTCCGTTGGCATGCTGGCTTCTTGGGGGGGGGAGGGGCTCCGAGAACACTTGAAGCCGTATTGGAGCGGTCTTAGGGGCCTCGTGGGGTATGCTGGTTGGAAACCAGATTGGGACATTCTCGACCAGCTTGGGCCATCTTGGATGCCATCATGGAGACTCGGAGGCTCTCTTGAGGCCATCCTGCGTCATCCTCGACGCAGTAATCCCTCCGTCCTCCTTTCAAAAAACCTCAGGAAGGGGAGGACGGAGAGTACCCCTCCCCGAAGGAAAGAGGGTTTGGGAATAGGAAAGACATCGTTAGACCACCTACGCCGAGAGGGCTGGTGGGATTTCTACTTCTTCGCTGTCTGAAGTGCAATCGGTATCCTTGGTGTGCTGCACAGTACCGTTCTTTGTTTCAGTCCCCATCCTCTCTCTCTCTCTCTCTCTCTCTGTCTGTCTCGTTTCTTGTTATGTCTGGTTGCTATTGCCGCTGCGGATGTTCCCTCGCAATCGAGGCACAAAGGTTCGAGGTTCGAAGGATCGAGGTCTCGGCCTCTCGCGTCCACGGCTGGGTTCCCCTCGAGATTCTTGGCAGAACGCACAACTGGGTAGCCCCGGAGCGCGTTCCAGTTTCCGGCAGAACACCTCGCGGCAGGCTGTGTGAACGGGCAACGTGTTCGGCAAGGCCTTTTCTAACTGTTTCCCAGTGCGTGTGCTGTCCAGCTTCCCAGAAGCTCCTTCGGAAGCTCCTTCCAGGGGCTTCCAGAGCTCCGTCGAGAGGTGTTGGAAGGCCTTCCGGGCGGCCTGCTATCCGGGTTTTGGACACCACGATTGGCAGAGCGCACCATCGGACAGGCCTGGAGGAGGATTGCGGAGGGCGAGGCCCTGGCCTCGAGGTCCTCGAGACGGCCAAGGCTTGGGGACGTATTTCGGAAGTTTCGGCGTCCAGTGAGGCTGTTTCAGGATCCTCAGGCCGTCCGAAAGATACTCGTCGGTGGTCGAAAGGAAGTGTTTCTGGAGCCGCAGCTCCCAATCTACTTCTAGCACCTTCCTACTTAGAGAATCGGAATGGCCATGATGCGCTTTATTATTCTCCGGGAGGGCCTGAGCCCAAAATCCTTGATCCGCCTGCCTACTTCATGTGTTTACCTAGTTCTTCCGACCGACGTGTACCCTGAATGAATAACAATGCTACCGAATATGGGTCGAGATGTCCAGGGACCTCGTATTGAACAACATCTCGACGTCGGGGGTCAGAGGAGGAGGAGGAGGAGGAGGAGGAAGGAGGGGGGGGATGTATTGAGGAGGAGGACATCTCTGGCCATCTCGGGGGGCGGTCTGGGGCTGTCTGCTGGACCCATCTCTTGGGCCTGACGCTCCAGTCCCTCGCGCCCCCCTCCCCCATCCAGCTCCCCAGGAATGGGACATGGGGGAGGGGGCAGGGGGCGGATTGGGAAAACGATGGCGGTGTCTTTCGCGGCGCGGCGCCTGGAAGCGTGCGGATGCGTTGTCGGGGGCGCGTGATCGCTCTATCGGCGACGTATATTGCCGATTCGAGCTCGATGTTGCCCTCCCTGAGCTGTTCCCTTCCACAGTTTTCCTTCAGGATCGAGCATCGATCCCCCACCCCACCCACTTGGGACTCCAGAGGCTTTCAGGCGGGCCTCACCGAGACCTCCAGGGGTCCTCCAGAGGCGGAGAGGGCCGCGGCCCGCGATGCCCGGCATTGCCTCGTCGTCAACGTTGTCGACGACGATGTCGATGATGACGACGTCGACGACGTCGTTGTCTGCGACGACGTCGATGACGAGGGGAGTGAGGGAGGAGGCGGAGGAGGAGGAGGAGGGAACGAGCAGGAGGACGAGGAGGGAGGGAGAGAACGAAGCAGGGCGGAAGGGGAGGTGCAGGAGGCAGGCAGGGAGAATTCGGTGATGGGGGATGGTGGTGGTGAGGAGGAGGAGGAGGAGGACGGACAGGTGCAGGAAGACGAGTAGGGAGCAGGAGGAGGGGCGGAAGGCAAAGAGGAGGAGGGGCTGCCCGAGGCGGCGGCGGCGGCCGGCGTGGACGTCGCGGCGCTGATGAAACAGCTGCAGGCGCAGGCGCGGGAGCTCCTCGTTCGCCGCGCGGGACCTGTGGTTTTTGTTGGGGTGAACCGATTCGGAGCCGTCTGAGGGTCTGAGGTGGCCCAGCACTGGTCCTGGCCAGCAGGAGGGGGGGGCAGGTTCGAGGTTGTGGCTTCAGGACAGCGTTGTGTTTTTCCCCACATGCTTCGTGGGGTTCTGGTTTTCTTCCCTGCCGCGTCGCACCCGCGTCTCCTCCTCCCTCTCCCCTCCTCCTCACAGCACTGCTCAGCACAGCTCAGCTCAGCTCAGCTCAGCTCAGCACGGCACAGCTTAGAGAGGGTGCGCAGGGGTGGTCTCTCACCGCGGCGTCTATGCGAGCCAGGGTCGGAGAGCGTGGCAGGCGTGGCACTTTCTCGACACCAGAGAGGGTGCGCAGGGGTGGTCTCTCACCGCGGCGTCTATGCGAGCCAGGGTCGGAGAGCGTGGCAGGCGTGGCACTTTCTCGACACCAGAGAGGGTGCGCAGGGGTGGTCTCTCACCGCGGCGTCTATGCGAGCCAGGGTCGGGGGCGTGGCAGGCGTGGCACTTTCTCGACACCAGAGAGGGTGCGCACTCTCACCGCGGCGTCTATGCGAGCCGGGTCGGAGAGCGTGGCAGGCGTGGCACTTTCTCGACACCAGAGAGGGTGCGCAGGGGTGGTCTCTCACCGCGGCGTCTATGCGAGCCAGGGTCGGAGAGCGTGGCAGGCGTGGCACTTTCTCGACACCAGAGAGGGTGCGCAGGGGTGGTCTCTCACCGCGGCGTCTATGCGAGCCAGGGTCGGAGAGCGTGGCAGGCGTGGCACTTTCTCGACACCAGAGAGGGTGCGCAGGGGTGGTCTCTCACCGCGGCGTCTATGCGAGCCAGGGTCGGAGAGCGTGGCAGGCGTGGCACTTTCTCGACACCAGAGAGGGTGCGCAGGGGTGGTCTCTCACCGCGGCGTCTATGCGAGCCAGGGTCGGAGAGCGTGGCAGGCGTGGCACTTTCTCGACACCAGAGAGGGTGCGCAGGGGTGGTCTCTCACCGCGGCGTCTATGCGAGCCAGGGTCGGAGAGCGTGGCAGGCGTGGCACTTTCTCGACACCAGAGAGGGTGCGCAGGGGTGGTCTCTCACCGCGGCGTCTATGCGAGCCAGGGTCGGAGAGCGTGGCAGGCGTGGCACTTTCTCGACACCAGAGAGGGTGCGCAGGGGGTGGTCTCTCACCGCGGCCCTTATGCGTGCCAGGGTCGTAGAGCGTGGCAGGCGTGGCACTTTCTCGACACCAGGGGGGGTGCGCAGGGGGTGGTCTCTCACCGCGGCGTCCTATGCGAGCCAGGGTCGGAGAGCGTGGCAGGCGTAAGCACTTTCTCGACACCAAGCAGGGTGCGCAGGTGTCTCTCAACACGCGGCGTCTATGCGAGCCCAGGTCGGAGAGCGTGCAGCGTGGCACTTCTCGACACAGAAGAAGGGTGCCAGGGGGTGGTCCTCTCACCGCGGCCTCTATGCGATCCCAGGGTTCAGGATAGGTGGCAGGCGTGGCACGTTCTCGACAGCAGGGGGGGTGCGTAGGGGGTGGTCTCTCACCGTGGCCCCTATGCGTGCCAGGGTCGGAGAGCGTGGCAGGCGTGGCACTTTCTCGACACCAGAGGGGGTGCGCAGGGGGTGGTTTCCCACCGCGGCCTTTACGCGTGCCAGGGTCGGAGAGCGTGGCAGGCGTGGCACTTTCTCGACACCAGAGAGGGTTTGCGAAGGTGGTCTCCCCCCGCGGCGTCTATGCGAGTCAGGGGTCGGAGAGCGTGGCAGGTGTGGCACCTTCTCGAACACGCAAAGATGGTGCGTAGGGGGTGGTCCTCTCACCGGGACGGCCCCTAGCGTGCCAGGGTCGGAGAGCGTGGCGGCGTGGCACTTTCTCTGACACCACAGGGGGTGCGCAGGGGCGTGGTTTCTCACCGAGGCGTCTATGCATGCGATCCAGGGTCGGAGAGCGTGGCAGCGTGGGCACTTCCGCTCGGCACCAGTGGGGGTGCGCAGGGGGTGGTCTCTCACCGCAGGGGGTGGTCTCTCACCGCGGCGTCTATGCGTGCCAGGGCCGGAGAGCGTGACAGGCGTGGCACTTTCTCGACACCAGAGGGGGTGCGCAAGGGGGTGGTCTCTCACCGCGGCCTTTACGCGTGCCAGGGTCGGAGATCGTGGCGGGCGCGGGATTTTCTCGACACCAGAGAGGGTGCGAAGGGGTGGTCTCCCACCGCGGCGTCTATGCGAGCCAGGGTCGGAGAGCGTGGCAGGCGTGGCACTTTCTCGAAAGCAGGGGGTGTGTGTAGGGGGTGGTCTCTCACCGCGGCCCCTATGCGTGCCAGGGTCGGAGAGCGTGGCAGGCGTGGCATTTTCTCGACACCAGAGAGGGTGCGCAGGGGCTGGTTTCTCACCGCGGCGTCTATGCGTGCCAGGGTCGGAGAGCGCGGCAGGCGTGGCACTTTCTCGACACCAGAGAGGGTGCGCAAGGGGTGGTCTCTCACCGCGGCGTCTATGCGTGCCAGGGTCGGAGAGCGTGACAGGCGTGGCACTTTCTCGACACCAGAGGGGGTGCGCAAGGGGGTGGTCTCTCACCGCGGCCTTTACGCGTGCCAGGGTCGGAGATCGTGGCGGGCGCGGCATTTTCTCGACTCCAGAGAGGGTGCGCAGGGATGGTCTCTCACCGATGCGTCTATGCGTGCCAGGGTCGGAGAGCGTGGCAGGCGTGGCACGTTCTCGACACCAGAGAGGGTGCGTAGGGGGTGGTCTCTCACCGCGGCCCCTATGCGTGCCAGGGTCGGAGAGCGTGGCAGGCGTGGCACTTTCTGGACACCAGAGAGGGTGCAGGGGGTGGTCTCTCACCGCGGCGTCTATGCGTGCCAGGGTCGGAGAGCGTGGCAGGCGTGGCACTTTCTCGACCCAGGGGGGTACGCAGGGGGTGGTCTCTCACCGCGGCGTCTATGCGTGCCAGGGTCGGAAAGCGTGACAGGCGTGGCACTTTCTCGACACCAGAGAGGGTGCGCACGGGGGTGGTGTCTCACCGCGGCCCTTATGCGTGCCAGGGTCGGAGAGCGCGGCAGGCGTGGCACTTTCTCGACACCAGAGGAGGTGCGCAAGGGGTGGTCTCTCACCGCGGCATCTATGCGTGCCAGAGTCGGAGAGCGTGGCAGGCGTGGCACTTTCATGACACCAGGGGGGGTGCGCAGCGGGTGGTCTCTCACCGCGGCGCCTATGCGTGCCAGGGTCGGAGAGCGTGGCGGGCGCGGCATTTTCTCGACACCAGAGAGGGTGCGCAGGGGTGGTCTCCCACCGCGGCGTCTATGCGTGCCAGGGTCGGAGAGCGTGGCAGGCGTGGCACTTTCTCGACACCAGAGAGGGTGCGCAGGGGGTGGTCTCTCACCGCGGCGTCTATGCGTGCCAGGGTCGGAGAGCGTGGCAGGCGTGGCACTTTCTCGACACCAGGGGGGTACGCAGGGGGTGGTCTCTCACCGCGGCGTCTATGCGTGCCAGGGTCGGAAAGCGTGACAGGCGTGGCACTTTCTCGACACCAGAGAGGGTGCGCACGGGGGTGGTGTCTCACCGCGGCCCCTATGCGTGCCAGGGTCGGAGAGCGCGGCAGGCGTGGCACTTTCTCGACACCAGAGGAGGTGCGCAAGGGGTGGTCTCTCACCGCGGCATCTATGCGTGCCAGAGTCGGAGAGCGTGGCAGGCGTGGCACTTTCATGACACCAGGGGGGGTGCGCAGCGGGTGGTCTCTCACCGCGGCGCCTATGCGTGCCAGGGTCGGAGAGCGTGGCGGGCGCGGCATTTTCTCGACACCAGAGAGGGTGCGCAGGGGTGGTCTCCCACCGCGGCGTCTATGCGTGCCAGGGTCGGAGAGCGTGGCAGGCGTGGCACTTTCTCGACAGCAGAGGGGGGTGCGTAGGGGGTGGTCTCTCACCGCGGCCCCTATGCGTGCCAGGGTCGGAGAGCGTGGCAGGCGTGGCACTTTCTCGACACCAGAGAGGGTGCGCAGGGGGTGGTCTCTCACCGCGGCGTCTATGCGTGCCAGGGTCGGAGAGCGTGGCAGGCATGGCACTTTCTCGACACCAGGGGGGGTGCGCAGGGGGTGGTCTCTCACCGCGGCGTCTATGCGTGCCAGGGTCGGAGAGCGTGACAGCGTAGCAGGCGTTGACGTAAGATTTAAATTAAGTATGTGGGGTTCCTCGGTAGCGTAATTTGGGCCTCCAAGGGCCGTCTCCGGGCCCCTGGACCGTGAGAAACTGTTCGGGGGTGAAAAATTGCGACAGATGGACCCCAGGAGGGATCCAGGACCGATTTTGAGCGGATCTGACCTCCTCCTCCTCCTCTCCTGACCGATCTCCGGGGGTCCCAGCCAGTTCAGACCCCCCGGCCGCCTCCAAACGTCGGCGTCGTCGTCGTCGGCTGCCGTCATGGAGGGTTCCGCTGGCCTCCAGGGGCCTCCGGCCGGGGCTGCCGCCAGGAGTCAGCGGGCGAAGAACGGTATGAGGTACGTTGTCGAGCTGCCCTGGGAGAGGCATATGGCGCATGTGTTTGCTCAGTCCCGTTCTTCGTTCACTGATGGAAGAGAGACGGTAGCCCGCAAGAAAGGGTGCCCTGGAATTTTGTCACATGTTGCGGGCACCCAAAGCCCCTCTTAGGGCTCTGGGGTGGTCAGAGAAAGACCCTGCACGCTGGAGAATCGGGCACGCGGATCGGGCCACTCCGCGTTTGTTCATCAGCATGGGGTAATGTCCCGACGGAGGTCAACCCCGCCTCGTCGGCACACCTCGCCATGGGATGAAGCGCCTTTTGCGCGCTGGGGCTTGTCGGTGGGGGCGGCGCCACCCTGGCGCTCACGTGTTGTCAAGCGCAGAACAGGCTCATCCATCCTCGTCTTCTCACTTCCTGGGCAGCCGCCTCCTCCCCTCCCTCGGCCCCTGCCCTCCATGTTTCTCCTCCTTCACCTCCTCCCCACCCCCGCTCCTGGTCTGGGCGATGGGTGG